ATCTGATGTGTTATATTTAAGAGAGCGATTAAACAATCGCTCTTAAATGTTAAGATTGGAGAGTGGTTCTGCGTAGAACATCTCTCCAAAGTATAAATGTAAGATTAGAGAGCGGTTCCACATGGAATCGCTTTCCAAAGTATAAATATAGGCTGCGAATTTAAATTTTGAAATTAATTTCTTTCTGAGTTTTCAATTACAAAGTAAAATTAATTTATTATTACGTTTAAATCAAAATTTGGAATCAATTTCTTTGTGAGTTTTCTTCATTTTTATCACAAATTAAAATTGAATCTTGAGTTTATACATTTTTTGTTAACCAAACAATCCACATCTGCATGAATCAAACACAAGTAAGCAGAAAAGAAGAAAAAAAATTAGTAGGATGATTTTTAACATTAATATAGAGAAAAAGAAAGAAAGAATAAATAAGTACCTACAGATGTGAAAAAAAAATTAATTTGTTAGGCCATAAAAGATGAAGAGAGCAGGCTAACAGAGAATGCCTTACAAATGTGGAAAAAAAATCAATTGTTAATGCAGAGAAGATGAAAAGAGCAGGCTAACAGAGAATGAAGAGGTACCTACAGATGTGAAAAAAAATCAATTTGTTAGCGAGAGAAGATGAAGAGAGCAGACTAACAGAAAAGATGAAAAGAACATAAGAGAACAGAGAAGATGAACAGAACTTATAATAAAAGAGACATATTTTGTTAGCTAAGAAGAAAAAATGTGTTAAGCATGTTTCATTTATAAACGACTTTAAAGACTTTAGGGAGCGAATCTTCATTAAGTGCTCTCCAACAATGACTTTAGAGAGTGGTTCTTTATTAACCGCTCTCCAATGTGTGACTTTAGAGAACAGTTAATAGATAATCGCTTTCAGAAGTATAGTTTTGAGAGCAGTTAACGAAGAACCGCTCTTAGAAGTATAGATCACAAGTTTATATCAATATCTGCTACAAGACCAATTCAATTACATCGTAATTTCAAAATGAAATCTAAGCCCTATAGTAGTTTCATCCATCCCTTCACTGAGCCTGGTACTGATCGTCTTGACCACCTGAAAAATAAATGTAAGGGTGAGTACTCTACACTATCTAATACACACAAGCAAGCATAGAGTCTCACCTTGCACATTTCACACGTGTTCTAACAAAATTTAAATCAAGCATTCACAACTATAATTAACATTTCATTTCTATTTACACACCAATGCACTCACTGCACCTTCACACAATTAATAAACAACAACCACGTGCGCTCACTGCATGCTAGCCACGCTCACGTTGGCATTGTGATCACAGATTCACACCATGGATGGTCGCTAGTTACTCACGCATCACGGATACCACATGTGCAGTCACGAGTCGCTTGACAAAGGTGTTAGTCAGAGGTCTAGTCAGGAAAAGAGTGTGTGGCCTGTAGTACACCCCACTCACTATTTGTGTCACCACCACTCTCTCTTCTTCAAGGTATTTCTATCGTCTCCATCTTCCACACCTCCAGCGTATCGCTGAACCATTCCTGGCATATTCATAACCACATTTAACATGTCTCATTCACACACATTTTAATTGCATACGATATCTATATTTGCACACAACACGTAAGCCCACATTCATTCACAGCATACGACACACAGGCCCACATTCATTCACATTATATGGCACATATGCCATATTCACTCACATCAAACTTAAACATTAAATCCTCATTAGTCTTCACCACAATCAAGTCACATTATTAAATCATTCATCAATGACATGTCACAATACACAATCACCCACAATGGGTTCAACCATCTCATCACACATCACACTGCATTCAAACACATAATAATTTTCATCAACACACATTTTCTACCCTCTATCTCAGCCACATTGCAATATTTAGTAAAATAAACGGCAAGCAAAACATAATAAGATAGGATAGAGTTTTTCCTTACCTCAAATCGAAGACCTAACATAATACGATGGTAGAAAACGGTCCCCACTCAGATTTTGCCTTTAAAACAAATGAAAAACTCTATGAGAACTCAAAGAGAACAAAAATAATAAAGAAAAGGGACAAAAACTGAAACCCTAACCATGGAAACTTACCTCCAAGCGTTCCCAACACAAATCCAACCTTCAATCTAGCTCTCAAACGGCTTTAGAAGCAATTTAATCGATGAAATAGGGTTTTGGATTGAGAGAATCGAAGAGATTTTGAAGAGGAGAATGGGAAATGGATTTCCCAAACCCTCCCTTCAAATACTCCTCTGGTCGTGACACTCTCGCTACAGCAAGACATCTCTCACTGCAACGACACCCCTTGTCGCTACAACGAAAATTTCAGAGGAAACTGTATCCTAGTTTCTACAGAATCTCGCTACAGCGAGATTGCACTCAGAATTGTACCCCAAACTGTCGCTCCCTCGCTGCAGCGAGAAGGCGACAATTTGACGCCTTCCTCCCAGGGCCCTCTCGCTACAGCGAGAACACTTTACACTCTATACTCAGCCTATTTCAAATAGTTCAGTATAGTCAATCTCAATGCACAATCAAAATCCACATTTATCATATACGCGCACACACACACACACACATATATATATATAACCAGTCAATACTCATCACGCATCACACACTCAAGTACAATTCTAACATCCATTCACATTTAAATATATAATAATAATAATAATAATAATAATAATTAATATTACAAAATTCGGGGTATTACAGTTTCTACTAACTGCTGTCTAAGTTAGTGTTCCTAAAAAGCATTTCTAGTGTAGTGAAGTGTGTCTCTTCTTATAACTCAAAATGATGAAAGGAAGGAGTGAAGAAAGAGGGAACATTAACTAAGGATACGACTGTCCAAAATGGTAAACCTTCACCTAAAATTTCTTTTAATTCTACTAATGCTTTTATTTTTTCGACTTCTCGACCTGCTCCTCAAATTCAAGATATTACTCAAGATAACTCTGAGAAAGTTGAAATCACTTTCAATAGAAGAAGCTTTTTCTCCTCTAGAATAGAAGCCTTAAACAATCTGACTATGTTTCTGCGAGGAGATTATTCTCATCCAAATTTCTAACCTTTAGATCAGAGATACCAAGATCAGTATCTTATGCTCTTTCCCATATAAACCTATAAGGTTTAGACATTTCCTTTAGCATTCTTAGAACAACTTACCAAACTGATAAGGAAGAAGAAAACCAGAGTATCCAAACTCCAATCTTTTCCTCCCTAAATGAGAGAATAGAGAAAGAGATGATAATGGTTTCTTGCTTTGAGATATGTGTTTTTAGAAGGTCAGAATCACTCGAATACCCCTTTTTCTCATGATTTCTCGCTTGAGCAAGAAAATTGGACAAAAATTACTACTTTTCTGTTGATATTTTCGCTTGAATGAGGGTATTTTCGTTTGAGCAAAAACATGCTCGAGAACTACCATTTTCTGTCGTGAATTTTTGCTAGAGCAATAGATTTCTCGTTTGAGTGAGAGTACAGATGAAAAAATATGATCCATTTTTTCTTGAGGAAGAATTTTTGCTTGAGCTAAAAGGATTTTTTTTAATTTTTAATTAATTAATTAATTATTATTCTTTTTTAATTTTTTTAAACTCTTCTATTTTAGAATCAAGAAAATGCAAGGAAAAAAATTTAGGATGTTACATAAGTTTGGTTTGTTCTCTATTTTATAACTTATTTCTATAATATATTTGATTTAAAACTTGATTTTCCCATTTTTATTTTGCTATTTGTTTTTCATATTATTTTCTTTATACAATGCATTTCATTAATGTTTACATTTTAATTATTGTTATGAGTTTTTATTTAGTAGTTATATATAAATTCAAATAATTTTCCTTTTTAAAATAAATTACACGTCTTCTTGTTATGTTTAAAAATTCATATTTTAGTCAAAGATTATTATTTATGATCCAAGATCATACATATTAATTGATATGAAATTTATTAGTTTAATGAATATATAGATTAATAAAAATACTTTAAACTATAGTTAATAAAATATTGATAATAATTTACAAGGGAGAAAAAAAAAACTAGATATGTTATGTAAAAAATGCCTAATTGACAGAGAAAATACTATAAACAACAATTAACGATATTTTGAGTGGATGCAGTAAAATCAAAAGTAGAATTAAATTTTAAAAATTATTTTGAAGAAAAATTGAATTTATGTGATAATATTTGGAGAATTAGTTAATGCACGGGTTGACAGGGTGCAGAGGAAGCTTCAAAATTGGATGCAAAGATGATTAATTAGCACTTATTTGGAAGGACGAGAAAACAGTTGAATCTAATTGTTTAGTTGTAAAAGATTCGCGTCTTCTCTGGACTCTTTGCTTGGTGGTTACAACAATTATGTAATCAAACCTTTCCCCTTCTCGTCCGTATCATTATCGATGATCCTGCCAGTTAATATTTATATATAAGAAACTATATCTCACACCACATGGTTTATAAACTACCTACACACATCAATAATAATTTTAATTACAGGTATAAACAACAGTAGTAATTTTAATTATATATGTTTAAACTACATCAATAATAATTTTGATTATATAAGTTAATATATATTTTGGTATTGGAATCATCGGTGTGAACAAGATTTATTATTCTTGATACAATCGTGGGCATATACCCCATGATTTTGAAGACTTTTTATTTTGTCTTTTGCCCCCTTGAACGAAATCTTTCCAGGTAGGTATAATTAATTTTTCTTTCGTCAACGAAAAGAAATTAAACGTTAGTTAACTAATAAGGAGTAAAAGAGGGACTTAGATTAGTTGATCATGCTAAGGATTTTGACCCTTATTAATTGGTGATCTTATTTCGTACGGCACTTAAACAATTGAAAAACGCGATGAGCATGTCTTGCCATATTGCCAAATCATGATTAACTAGATCAATTATTGGAGGCTTCATATGGAGGGCAATCAACTTATAAATTGAGATCAATTGAAGGATGAGACAGATTCGAAGATGGAATTGAATTGGGTTTGGACGAGTGCTGCCACTTTGTTTGCATGCTACTTTTTTGTATGTAAATTTTTGAGGGGGTTGAATGGGTGGTATTATGATCTAAAATTAAGAAACAAACAGTACCCACTTCCTCCTGGTGATATGGGATGGCCTCTTTTTGGCAATATGTTGACATTCCTCAAGGACTTCTCATCTGGTCATGCAGATTCATTCATCAACAACCTTGTTTCCAGGTTATTATATGGTTCATATTTATCATATATTCTCATTATTAATGTGGATGTATGTATAGAATTTAGTCTCACTCACCCTTGTTTATGTTTCAGATACGGACGCACTGGGATCTACAAGACTCACTTGTTTCTGAATCCAAGCATCATTGTGTGTGCTCCTGAGACGTGCAAGCGAGTGTTGCAAGACGAAGAAAACTATAAGCATGGTTATCCAACGTCCACCCAAGAACTAACACGAAGTAGACCCTTCGAAGGTGTGGCTGGTGCAGAACACAAGCGTATAAGACGCCTAGTCACTGCTCCCATTGTGGGACAACACATGTTAGTGAAGTACCTAGAACGCATCGAGAACATTGTCATTAATTCGTTAGAAGAATTATCTACCATTAAGCACCCAGTTGAGCTTCTAACAGAGACCAAAAAGATTTCCTTTAAAGTCATCATTCACATTTTCTTGGGCTCTTACAATGAGGGCATCGTCACAAAAGTAGGAGATTTGTTCACTGTTTTGTTCGATGGCCTATTCTCTGTGCCCATAAACGCACCCGGTTTCACATTCAACAAAGCACTCAAGGTTCTTTTCTGTCCCTTATCTTCTATATTATGGGTATATATTAAATGAAGGTTCTGTCTCATTTTATAAAAGTAAAATGAATTTGATTTCCATTTGAATTTTGATAACTATTTTATCTGTTTTTTTTTCAATTATTTTCTTTAGTTATAATATATATTATTCATTTATCATACATATAAATATAACTACTACTATAATATTACACTAATTATAATATCAAAAATAAAATAAAAAACATTTATTTATGATATAATAAATAGTTTTTACGATAATACAAAAATATTTAATTGAATCAATAATCAAAATAGTATTTTATTATATATTAATTTATTATAATTACAATATTATATAACATAAAAATATAGTTTATATTTCTATAAATTTTAAACAACCTATCAATATTTTAAATAGTATGTTCTGGATGCTGAGTTCACGTTTGTATGATTTTGTGCATGGTATATTATTAGGCACGTAAGAAGCTGGTCAAAATCATTCAATCTGTCCTGGACGAAAGGAAGTTGATGATGAAAAAAGGTGAAATTGTAGATAAGAGAGATCTTGTGGATATTCTTTTGGATGTCGATGGAGAGAATGGTAAAAAATTGGAGGATGAGGATATTATTGACTTGTTATTAGCACTTGTATTTGCTGGTCATGAAACCACAGCAACTGGTATGATGTGGTCACTCATACATCTTACGCAGCATCCAGATATCATGAAAAAAGCCAAGGTAAATAAAGCTAATATAAAGTACAAATGAATTCAAATACTTTTAATTTTTCTAAATAAAAATGGTTTTTTTTTTATTTTATTTTATGCTGCCCCTACCGGACTCACCTTTTCGGCTTTTCCCGTTAATTTGAGTTTTTCTCTTCCATTTTTTGAGCACGATAGATGAGAGTGCAAGTGTAGTGTAAAACACTTATTGTAAAATAATTATCGTTATTCTTTATGAAAATCATTGGATTTTTTTTTCTTTATACTCCTTTGTAATGTTAATAAAATATCATATCATGCAATAAAAAGAGGGGGGGGGGGGGGGAGGGGAGGGAGTTGATTTTTAAACTCTTGTTGAAATTACTTAACTTAATAACTAATTATACAAATTAAATACTGTCAATCTCACTGTTGAATAAGGTTATATATTTACTGATTATACATATTAAGTTTTAAAAATATGTATTAGTCATTAAAATAAAGTTGTTTGATAAACTGTTGATTAATTTTTTATTTATATGATATTTTGTAGACTTAATATATTAAAAAAACATTTAATTCAGCTGTTAGATTGACAAAATTTATGATTTTTATTTTAAAAATCATAAACAATATAAAAGGTGAGTGCAACTCCTGTATTAATCCGTCTTCTACTATACGTTACATGACAAAAATTTATTTACTGACAGCCATTAAAGAATGTAATAATATATCTTTATTTGTATCTTGCAGGAAGAGCAAGAAGAAATTATGAAGATGAGACCGTCCTCACAAAAATATCTAAGTCTTCAAGAAATTAAACAAATGGTTTATCTTTCAAAGGTAAGTATATTAGGAAATAACACATATAATTCGTGTGTATTATATTACGAAGTTGTAGACATTTGATCTTGATATGTTTTGCAGGTTATTAATGAAACATTGCGTCTGGCCAATATTCTCTTTTCAGCTTTTCGAGTGGCAACTGCTGACGTGAACATAAACGGTTGTTTATATTCATTGCCAATATATAAAATCTTTACTTCACACTATCTTCTGTTAGTAAATGGGAGTAAAAGCACTTACATCTCATATTCTAAATACTTGTAGGTTATATCATACCGAAAGGATGGAAAGTGTTGGTTTGGCTAAGAGCTATTCATATGGATCCTGAATATCATTCAAATCCAGAAGAGTTTAATCCATCAAGATGGGATGTAAGTTGCAATATTAATATGTAACCCTATGTCTGGAGCATAATGGACAAGTTATAAGTGATCTTTTTTTCTTATCGTTATGTGTGCAGGGTTACAATGCTAAAGTAGGAGCCTTCCTTCCTTTCGGAACAGGATCTAGACTTTGTCCTGGAAGTGATCTAGCCAAACTTGAAATGTCCATTCTTTTGCATCACTTTCTTCTGAATTATAAGTAAGCATTGGATCTAATTTCTTTTTCATTCCCAAGGAACACTGAAGGAAGAGTTTGAAATTTACTAATTTAATTATTTTATAGGTTGGAGCAAATAAATTCAAAATGTCCTATTACTAACTTGCCAAACACCAAGCCCAAGGACAACTGTCTCGCTAAGGTGATCAAAGTCCCTTGTGCATAGCTTTGTGAGCAAAATCAATATTTTGAAGCACCTTGTTACAAATCAAACTTTGATGTTTTTTATTTACTTTCGTATTTGTGACCACCCACTGCTCCAATAGAAGAAAATTAAGTTTTTGGTAATTGTATGTAGATAGAGCATGAAATTGTAGCATTGCTGCATTGGTTTCAATAAAAGGAACCTTTCTTCTCTTTCGGGTCGGGTCGAACAATGGCTCATGTTTTATATATTCTTTTATTTTGCCTATGTGAGGATTCTTTGGTCAATGGACACTATAAGTATATGTCATTGAGGAATAATTTTGAGGAAAATTGTCAACAATACATATTCCCAGAATTAAACTTTAGGATATTTTAACTAAAGGCTTACCACATTTATTGAATATGATGGAAATACAGTTACTATTATATTACTATTACTGAGTATTAAATTAAATTTAATGTAATATCTATATGTACGATGTAGTTGGCATTCCAAGCTTATTTATGATTACTTGTTTTAAAATACTGTAAATAGGCATCGTATTGTATGAATTTGAACGTAACACTACATTACAAAAAATAGTTATTATTTATTAATTAATAAGACTTTAACAGTCTATGATTACAAATAATGAATTGCGCTAATATGTATTTATTGATAATGTACATACTTAATATTTATACTAATCAAATTTTTTTGTTATTATATATATATATATATATATATATATATATATTTTGTGAATACCCAAATTTTGTTTAAAATTTTTTATGTTTATTTTTTAAAATTATGAATATTTTTATAAAAAGAAAATAAGAACAAAATATTTTAAGAAAATTAAAGTTTGCTTTAACAAAATAAAAAAATTTATATTTGACTACAAAATTGAAATTAAAATTTGCAAATAATTAAACTTATAAAGCATTTTTGTTTTATGTAAAAATCCTACAAGCAAAAACCATACAAACAAAAAGAGGGGGAGAGAACCATAGAGGGGGAGACATTAAAGAGAGGCTAAAATTTTTTGAGGGGGACTTTGAGATAGAGAAAAAAAGCAAGAGGTAGAGACAGAGGAAGTAAGCATAGATTCTATGAATTTTTCATATATATATTCAAGCATATTCACACCATGAATGTAAGTTTCATTCAATAAAGATCTTAAAAGCACTATTTTAATCATCTTTAACCTTTTAAATCCACTGTTAAAGTTTTTTTTTCTCCACTACTTCTTTTCCTCTCTCTCAACCCACTATTCTAATGCATGGAAGTTCATTCTCCAACTAAGAACAACTTTCCTCTCCATATTTCTTCTTCCCTTTCCTCAACCCACATCCTCAACCATGAAAACTTTTCTCTCTCAACCCATTACCTTTAACCATGAATGTTTCTCTTTGTCAATCCATCATTGCAACCATAGTGTTGCAACCGGAGGTTATAACGGCAAAAATGTATTTAAGAAAAATATCTTTTAGAAATAAATAACGTTTTCTGAAAAATCAAAGAAGTCACTACCAAAGTTTATTAAAGAAAACCTTGAAAAAACATTAAAAATAATATTAGAAATAAAAAATGAGTTCAGGAGTCGTTTAAATGTAGGGAAGGTATTAGCACTCTACAAAATCCGTTTAAATAATGGGCACTTTCAATTAATCAAGCAAATTTATTATAATTTTTAAAAATATTTATTTAACCCCTAAATAATAATTATTGTTATTTTTATTTTAAAAGAAGACAAATTATTTATTGAAATGTTAATTGATATCTTTAAAAAAGAAAAATTATTTTGAATTTTGTTTTGAAAATAGTTTTGACACGATGAGTTCAGTTCCTGCTCCTATATATTTTCAGGTATAATAGAGAACTCAAAGTCACTTAGTTCTATCTTAAAAATTTAGGTGGATTAAAATTAAATTTAGTAAAAGAAAGTTTGTTTTGAGGTTAAAATTATTTTAATAAGATTATAACGTTTATGATACAAGATAATGAGTTATGCATGCATCTTACAATAAAAAATATAGAAAGTAAAGAGAGATCACACAACAATATTACAAATTGTTAAAAAATTATTTTATTTATAAATGAAATATTTAGATTTATATTTGAATTATTATTCACGTTGAAAGAGTGTAACACTCTCTTTTCATTAACTAGTAATTTATGTTTCGTTTAATGTTAAGTAGTATTAGAATACATTTAGAAGAGAGTATAGAGGATTTTTAGAAGAATTTTGGTAAGAGAAACCTTGCTCAGGCGAGGTAAATCTCGCCTAAGCGAGACTGAACGTGCAAGAATATAACGTTGCAGGGCTATCTCACTCAAGCAAGATACTTCTCGCTCTAGCGAGATAGGATGAATTCAGCCCAACTGTCACCTCGCCTAGGTGAGAGTGATCTCGCTCAAGCGAGATGAAATCTTACACATGGGAGATAAGTCGCTCAACCAAGGACCCATAGGAAAAACGTCCTGCTCTCTGGATGCCATCTCGCTCAAGCGAGATAGAGCTCGCCCAAGTGAGCATATCAGAAAATAGTGGACGAGATCAATGTCTACATATATCGCTTAAACGAGATGTCTGTCACTCAAGCGAGTTGTTTCTCGCTCAAGAAAGAGTGCACGAGACTAAGTGATATTTAAGAGATTTTCAGCATAGAAACTTCATTTCATTTCATAAATGTAAAAGAGGGTGAAAAAATCCTCTATCAGTTTGTTAAGAAAAATGGTTAAAAAAAATGAAAATTTTGTTTATAAATTTTATTATTTTTGAATATTTAGTTTTGTCTTTTGAAATTTTATATTTTTGTTAAAAGAAAACTTAAATAATTTATTATTAAATTATTTTAATCTCTTAGTTTAGAAAAAAAAATTATATTTTTATTATCTTGGTGTACTTTGTTTTAGTCTTTAACTCTATTTTTGGTTTCTATTTAAAATTCATTTATTATTATTTTAAAATATTTGGTATAATTATATAGATTTTATTTAAAAATATTACTTTTTATTTTAGATTATTTTATTTAATCAATTTTATTTACATGATTCAATTTTCACACACTAAATGTACATAGGTATCCATGTGAATAACGAACATAGGTATTAAATATTTGCTTATGTTTAAATTAACTATATTAATTATATTAAATTTAATTTTAATTAAATAAAAATATAGTCAGACAAAATTGAGTATTTACAAAATACATATATTATTTTTATGATATTAATAATTATAATTAAATACCAATAAATCAAATACTATAAAATTAATGTCTAAAAAACTTAATGTGTTAGAAAAATCGGTCAACTATAAAAGAAAAAATAGATTGTGACTTAGTGCGTTCCTGCTAAGGCTTCTCAATCCTGACCTTTTCCCCCTTAGTGCATTGTGCCACTTTTTCTTTGGAGGACTATGTGAGAAGATAGAGAAGCGACAAGAAGGAGCTTGTCAACAAAAAATCCCTTTAGACTGAGGGTAGGGAAGGAAGATGGATCTACTTGAAGAAGAGATGCAATTCAAGGAAGAAGTAGACTTGATGGCAAGGAGCACGAAGAAGGTTAAAATGAATGCAGAAAATATTATGAATGTGGTTGATCCACTTTGCCAAGGAAAGACCCACGACCAAGAGCTTAGAAACTAGATGTCTTCTTTCCCTAAATCTCCATCTTGCATGTCTTACAAAGAAAATGTTATGACTTGTTATGATCTAGATCTAGGTTTCAATGACGCTGGGATTGTGAAATCGATTTTAGAAGACCTAAATATTCCCCAAGATTTAGATAATCAGGAAATAGGGGCATATAAGGCCTAGAACCTCTGCCCAGAAATTAAAATACATATAGAAGATTATGAACTTTGGTGCAATCCATGAAAATTTACTCTAATTGTGAAACTTTTAGGAAAAAATATTAGTTTTAATTTCCTTAATCAAAAGATGAATAATATTTGAGGTAGGAATGGTAACCTAAAAATCTTAGATCTGAACAATGACTTTCTAGTAAAATTTGAAAATCTTGAAGATTATGAATTTGTCCTTTTTGAGGGCCTCTGGCTAATTCTAGACCACTATATCCTAGTTCAGAGATGGAGGTCTTTATTTAGGCCCCAAGATTATAGCCTCAAGAATATAATAGTTTGGGTGCATGTCCCTAATCTTCCCCTAGAACTCTATAATGAGAAATTCCTCTAGCAGGTTGGGTCTTGCTTAGGTTCTATGTTAAAGATAAATTCCCACACTTCGCTAATATCTAGAGGTAAGTTTGCTAGGTTCTACATGGAATTAGACCTAAATAGGAAATTAATGTCATCTTTTAAAGCCTTTGGCCAAGAATTTAAAGTTGAGTATGAGGGTCTTCACTTGATATGCTTTCACTGTGGAAAATATGGGCACAGGGTTGAAACTTGTAGTGAGAACACTAAGCTAGGTCAACATAATATAGACCCAGATCAGTTAGCTAGCAATTCTAGGATAAGGGACGAGACTAAACCTAATGAATAGGTAAGCCAAACTAGGGTTACTGATTAGACAAAACAGGAGTATAGTCAAATGAAGGATCATAGCAGATTTGACCCATGGATGTTAACTAAAAATCCTATTAGGAAAAAAACTAGCAGTTTAGAAACACTAACAACTCCAACCTCCATGAGAGAGGTAAGGAGTTTTCTACAGGATCTAAGTTTGATGTATTGAATAACACTTTTAATTTCCTATATAAGAAAGACATTTATGACAATCAAGAGTTGAAAAACTCTCAAACTAGCCCCTATGTCGAAGGTCACTCTGAACCTATTCTCCCTAAATCAAAAAATAATAGCCAAGGTTTCCTTAACCATAACTCTCATCATAATTCTAGAAAATCTTCTAAAGTTAAATATAAAAGTAAAAATGAGAATAGTGAGCATGAGACTAATAATGACCCTTTGAATAGACTCCAGTCCCCTATTATTCTTACTCCCAAATCACCTATTAAGGGTAGATAAGATGAGATCCTTCACCTAATGAGAATCATGCAAAAGGACCTTAGTG